CCCTAAATCTTACGTGTCACAATATTCCCGAGGGAATTTTACCCCTAAATCTCGTTTCTTTTATTTACAGTTGTAAACTGTGGGGATCCAGGTACTCCAGCCAATGGTAAACGAGTCCACATTACAAATGGTTTTCACTATGGTAGCTCGGTGAAATTCGCATGTGACGCGAACTACAGTTTGGAAGGATCCGGAAAAATAACTTGTGAAGAAACAAAAGAGTGGAGTTCATTTGTCCCACGATGTCGGGGTGAGTTAATATTGTTATTAAAGAATCATCATTGAATGACGTTAAGGCATGATGAGGAGGGGGGGAGGGGGAGGGAGAGAGGTTAGCTACAGTTCAGTTAGCAGGTTTCGCTAATTACCCATTTGCATCAGAGCGGGAATTTATCATCATTTCCCTTTTGCTTCGGTGTCTTTTCGCGAGCGAAGAATGGTAGGGTGGTTCTTGATGTGAGGGACCTCTCGTTAATAGTATAAAGAACTTAGATGAAATTAAACGTACCGTTCTTAAGGCCTCAATAGGGGGGAGGGGGAGAATCATGTTGACGGTTGAAGGTTAGAAATAAGCCCTTTTGACGGTTAAATTTTAGTCATTTGACGGTTGACGGTTGACTTTTTGGAATTTCGTTTATAAAACGAATCCAACGCGCGAATTTGGCCGTAATTTTTCATTATGGCCCGTTTGTAAAGAACTGTTAATTCATAACACCTTTCATTAATAAACGACTAACGTTTTACGACGCCGAAAGTTTTTCCACCCGGGAAGTCAGTTCTGTCGCTAACCAGTTCTACTCGCGACTACAAGTTAAAGGACTTACGTAAATGTATTTTTGTGACATATCAAAAAAATTATTAATAAACAACAGAACTTGACCCCAATTAAGGCAATAGTTTAGTTCTTAAGTAAGGATATCTGAGACATTTGACGGTTAACATTGGCTTGCTCATTTGACAGTTGATGGTTAACTTTTGCTTTTTTGACGATTGACAGTTAAAACGAATGAAACTTTCTCCATTTACCCGAAATACTATTAATGACACTTTCAGCATCATGTTCTGACCCCGGTGAGCCAGTTAATGGAGATAAAAGGGGAGATGACTTTAAGCATGGGAAAACAATAACATTTCGATGTCACGACGACTATGAACGTGTCGGAGGAGAAACTATCCAATGCATTGATGGAAAGTGGAGTGCCAAACTACCTCAGTGCAAAGGTAAAAGACATACTTAAACAATACTGATGACAGGTCTCTGTGATGAATAAGCCATTAGAAATCGAGTAGAAGATTTTCATGAACTTGAATTCTGACGTCTTATCTGGATATCGAGATATTGATGATAGTAATCATATATTCTTATGCACTCAGTACCTTCAAGTCACTTGGAAATTTTTTTTTTCCTGTCAATTTCCGGCTTAGATAAGAGGCCCTGTTAATATCATTCTGCGTTTCGTTATTTAGTGTTTGATACGTTATGCATGGCCATCTTTCTTAGTTATCTCGTGCGGAGATCCTGGAACACCTCAACATGGACGGCAAACGAAGGTCGTCAACAACTTTGCTTTCAGAGGAACTGTAGCATTCCAGTGTGACGATGGCTACACCTTGCTTGGCAAATCTTTTCTTTCTTGCCAAAGGAGCAAGATGTGGGATGGAGATGTTCCAAAGTGTTTAGGTAAATCTCTTACATTATATATGAATTTGTAATTTTAAATTTGAGCATCCAAAGGCTCAAAGTCGCGATCACTCTGTTTTGTGTTAAAGTTCGACATGATTTCCTCATTTCCAAAAAAGCCATCATTAGGTGGTCTACAGTTCCATAATTTTTCATTAACTTACATGGCGAAAGTACAAATTTTCACGCTTCATTTGGGCATGGTGCCTTTTGCTAGAGAGGGGTTTTGTAGTACCCGCTATTTATCATCGAATTTCAGTCAGCATATTGATTTTATACTTGATGTTATTACTACAAAAAATGTTTTACGACCGCGAAAGGCCAATTCATAAGTCTGATAACTATGGAGAACAGCTCAAAGATAGGCTTGGGATATGCAATCACTGTGCGGCCGTGAAATTCACGTGTTTGGCTCGGTAGCGTGGGAGAAGGGTGGAATAATGTTCCCTTTTCTTTTTGGTGGACAACGATGATACGTTCGCATAGCATTTGAGGTACCTTTATTCAGCTCGAAAACTGCTTTCGCTCGTATAAAGGCTATAATTTTAGACAATTGTTTTTTTTTTATTTCTTTTGATTTTAAGCATCCTGCGATGACCCTGGGCATCTACGTTATGGGATAACCATTGGAAGTGGTTTCGAACACGACTCAGTCGTAAACTTCAAATGCTTACCCTATCGTGTTTTAAAAGGCGCCTCGCAGTCAAAATGTGTCAACGGGAGGTGGACTGCACAGCTTCCAAATTGTAAAGGTGTGAAAGGTTACTTCAATGCTGCATAGTCATTAAATATCGTTGGTCTTTTAGGGAGTTCAACATTGTGATTTATTATTTGTTGCAGCATAGTTATTAGTTGCCGGGTGGGAAAAGAAAAAAAAAAAAATGGTCATATTTCGTAAACGTTACTATAATCGTATCCTAATCGTAATCTTTTCGTAAAATAAACTCCCTCCGAATACGACCCTGTCATAGCGCACATATAGTGGACAGCATTTGCGAGAGGTTAACTGAAAAATGACCAAACTGCCACCCGCAAAAGACATTTGTTTTCCCATTCCCTGTTACAGTTGAATTTTGTGCGGCACACCTGCCCTCAATAAGACATTCCTAGAAATAAAAAATTGTGATTCACATGTCAGCTAGATAATACTTGTAGCACCACATTTCACCAGTCCATAGGCACTGCCCTACACGAAGATTACCTCATCTTCGATTGGAAATCGACGGGACTATTAACAAAATTTACAGATTCTAAGTGAAAACATACTGCTGGTAAAACTACTCATGATGTTGTCAGAGCAGAATCTTTGGTTGTTCTGTTTCGAAGATCAGAAACTCGGAATCATCAGCTTAGATGATGAGGTCAATCAAAAAGCTATCATCCCTTTAAAAGACAGTGTGCTGGGAGAAACTACGGGTTCGACTGCAGTTTTCATTTTGAAATCGTAACCAATGGCCTATTATTCATTTTATTTTACGTTTAAGATTGCAACGAAAGCCTGAGTGCCTCCATGATAGATAATAAGTGTGAAATCACTAAAAGGTGGACTCGTCTTGAGATAAAACTTCGAAAGGAAAGCGTAATTACAGCGGCAAGTATTCAGCTGGGCGATGATAGAGGAAACGTTCAAAAGATTAGCATCCGTGCGCTTCTTTCCGATACTGAATGGGCAAAAATTGGTAAAGAATTCAAGGTAAAATACATTATTCTCTTATTTCCCATCTTTTCCTGTTTAACCCCGAAGAAGAGTGACAAAGTGAGAAATGAAAAATTGGTATTCAAGTAGCAGTCATATTCTCTCTCACAAATCAATCAATCAATCAATCAATCAAACGTTATTTAACGAGGATGATACTTAATAGTTAAAATCTAATGAACTTGTGGCTCTCCATAAACATTGTTGCAATTTAAGTATGAATTTTTTTATTCCTACAGCCTCTTTTTATAGCCACTATAAACATTGTTACAACTTAAATATAAATTTTTTATTCCCTACAACCACTCCTACAGCCACCTTTCAGGGGAGAAGAAAAATTGAAACTTTCTCAACCGGTTCTCACTCAGTCTTTTCAAGTTATACTTAAAACACAAAGGAAGCTTTCCGATTGTTCAACACCAAGAGTTTATGGATGTGACGCACTGCAGTGGGGTAAGACTTTATAACTCCTTTATACGTCTCCCTCCAACAATTTGTTTAGATAAACACCTCGAGAAAGAAGAGAACTCTCGCGAATTAAATATAGAGAACTAAACGATTTTTATTCCAATATCCTAGTGAACAGAATCGATTGTTGTGTGATATAAAGGCTTTATACAAAAATTTTTTTGATCAGCTTGAGTATCCACGATTTTCATGCAACGAATGTTTGCATCGTTGTCTAGCCTCGTGTTTTACGTCCTTTTTAGGTTGTATTATACCAGGCTCTGCAGTCCTCTTCAAAGAAGGAGGAAAATATCATGAATGGCGGTTTGCATCTGTCCAGTCTTCTGGCGAGTGGGAAGTCGTCAAAGGAAAAGATTTCAAATATATAAGCAAAGATAATGTAAAAAACGTAATTCTTGATGAGAAACCTACCGTCAGCCAGCTGCTTGAAGGAACTGTAGTCGTTGGAAAAGATTTGAGAGGGAACTTAAAGAAGGGAAAAATAAAACGACCGTGCAGCTCTACTCAATGTATCATTGAAACAAACGGTAAAGAGTGGCAGAGCGAATTAGAAAACGTTCGAGTCTCCAAAGGAGAATTGTGTAAATAGTTTGTGTTTACTTGATATATAAAAAGGGTTTACGTGCTAAGGGGATGTTAGACTGTGCTTAAAAATCTTCCATGTTTCACTTTTGGTGGACTGTCGTCAAAAGGGAATTTGTAGAAGCTAGATCTGCCAATAGGATCGGAACTTCGGTCTCACGCGAAATTTACATATAACCCG